AAATGATAAAGTAGTAAAAAGAAGAGCCGGCGGGCGGGCGGGCGGGATGTTGTCGGCGCGCGCGCGCGCGCCCCAGGGAACCGGAGGTACGCAGATTTCGTGTTGGGTGTGGAGGGATCGGTGTCGTCGTGGGGGTAGGCGTTGCGCGGCGTGTGGCCGCCCCCGCCCATGCCGGCGAGTGCGGCCGGAGGGCGTTCGCCGATCGATATTGGCGGTGTTTATTCTCTCGTGTGTGTAGAAACAGTAGGACGGTGGAGACCCTTTTCGATCCATCCCTCGCTGCCTTGTGTTTTTTAACGCCTGCGGTGGCGAGGAACAAGCAGGGGGGAGGGGTCACGCTTTCGAGGGGCTGTCGGGTGCGGTTTCCTTGAGCTAGCGCTTCCGTGCCCTGCAAGGATACTCTGGATGTATCATGTCTCAATTCTTAGATAGGTACGGGTTTTGGTGTATTTACGTGGCTTGCCTTGACCCTAAACCTTTACGCTTGCGTTATATTTACCCTTACATTTCCGCGCCTCCTGCGGTGACCAAACCTTTATTAAAACGACTTTTACAGACGAACGTGTGTTGATTAATTCTTTGGTACCTCTGTGGCTTCTTTGTGTACGCGTAGGGTGGTGCCCTGAGAAAGGATGGGTAGTCGATGGCGCATATGAAGTAGACGTCAGTAAGGGTGAAGCGTGGAGTGGGATGATGCCACGGGAGAGAAGGGTGGGGGGGGGTGCTCAGCGTCCTCGTTGGATAGCCCCTCGTGTGTGGGTGCAGCGGAGTGATGAAGGCAGCGATGAACCAAGTTATCGAAACGCGATAGCTATTTTAGGTTCCGCTGTTGGTGCTGCTTGTGTGTATCAACGGGGGGGGGAGGGGGCAATGTGAATCGGGCGCAAAGGCGGGATGCCAGTGGCGTTGGTTCTCGCGTATACAGGGTTATGTGAGAACCAGACATGTAGTGGGCGATAGGGAGGGACTCGAACTGAAAATTGGGGGGGTGAGGGGGGGGGGTCGTACTTTTCGGCGGTGGCGAGTACCCGTCTAGCTACAGCGTACCGTTGCATTATTCCGGTTAATTTTCGAGGTCGCGAGGTTGAGATTCATCGCGGACATTTATTTTCTTAAGTTTCCAGCACTCTTTTTTCTTGCATGTTTCTTCGTCGGAAAAGCACGTCGTCGTTGACCTTAGGTAGTAATTGCTCGACCAATCCTGCACGTTCGCTTGCAGTCTATCGGCAAGCCACGAGTATTTAAAAAGGTAGTTTAGGCAGCCGCAAGGCAGAAGCCGCAGCCGAAGCAGATGTAATAGATTTGTGCTTTTGTTTCCGCGGGTTTTGTAGGGCTTGGGGGGGGGGGGGCGTGCAAGGATGGTGGGGGCAGCACGCGACAAATATTGAACGTGCTGCGGGAACAACCTCGAGTTTAGGGCGACCGCCTTGGTTGATTTCTAACCCCCGCCGCCCAAAACGGTCAAGAAAAACCCGGCGGGGCG